AACAGTGGTAGGTGGGGGACGACTGAGGGAGATGGATCACAAACAACAACAGTGGTAGGTGGGGACGACTGAGGGAGATGGATCACAAACAACAACAGTGATAGGTGGGGGACAACTGAGGGAGATGCACCACAAACAACAACAGTGGTAGGTGGGGGACGACTGAGTGAGGTGGATCACAAACAACAACAGTGGTAGGTGGGGGATGACTGAGGGAGATGCACCACAAACAACAACAGTGGTAGGTGGGGGATGACTGAGGGAGATGCACCACAAACAACAGTGGTAGGTGGGAGACGACTGAGGGAGATGCACAACAAACAACAACAGTGGTAGGTGGGGGACGACTGAGGGAGATGGATCACAAACAACAACAGTGGTAGGTATGGGACGACTGAGGGAGATGCACCACAAACAACAACAGTGGTAGGTGGGGGACGACTGAGTGAGGTGGATCACAAACAACAACAGTGGTAGGTGGGAGACGACTGAGGGAGATGCACCACAAACAACAACAGTGGTAGGTGGGGACTACTGAGGGAGATGGATCACAAACAACAACAGTGGTAGGTGGGGGGCGACTGAGGGAGATGGATCACAAACAACAACAGTGGTAGGTGGGGGACGACTGAGGGAGATGGACCACAAACAAGAACAGTGGTAGGTGGGGATGACTGAGGGAGATGCACCACAAACAACAACAGTGGTAGGTGGGGACGACTGAGAGAGATGCACCACAAACAACAACAGTGGTAGGTGGGGGACGACAGAGGGAGATGCACCTAAAAAAACAGCAGTGGTAGGTGGGGGACGACTGAAGGAGATGCACCACAAACAACAGCAGTGGTAGGTGGGGATGACTGAGGGAGATGCACCACAAACAACAACAGTGGTAGGTGGGGGATGACTGAGGGAGATGGATCACAAACAACAACAGTGGTAGGTGGGGGACAACTGAGGGAGATGCACCACAAACAACAACAGTGGTAGGTGGGGACGACTGAGGGAGATGGATCACAAACAACAACAGTGGTAGGTGGGGACTACTGAGGGAGATGGATCACAAACAACAACAGTGGTAGGTGGGGGACGACTGAGGGAGATGCACCACAAACAACAACAGTGATAGGTGGGGGACAACTGAGGGAGATGGATCACAAACAACAACAGTGGTAGGTGGGGGACAACTGAGGGAGATGGATCACAAACAACAACAGTGGTAGGTGGGGAACGACTGAGGGAGATGCACCACAAACAACAACAGTGGTAGGTGGGGGACGACTGAGTGAGAAGCACCACAAACAACAACAGTGGTAGGTGGGGGACGACTGAGGGAGATGCATCACAAACAACAACAGTGGTAGGTGGGGGACGACTGAGGGAGATGGATCACAAACAACAACAGTGGTAGGTGGGGGACGACTGAGGGAGATGGATCACAAACAACAACAGTGGTAGGTGGGGGATGACTGAGGGAGATGGATCACAAACAACAACAGTGGTAGGTGGGGGACGACTGAGGGAGATGCACCACAAACAACAACAGTGGTAGGTGGGGACGACTGAGGGAGATGGATCACAAACAACAACAGTGGTAGGTGGGGGACGACTGAGGGAGATGGATCACAAACAACAACAGTGGTAGGTGGGGACGACTGAGAGAGATGCACCACAAACAACAACAGTGGTAGGTGGGGGACGACAGAGGGAGATGCACCACAAACAACAGCCGTGGTAGGTGGGGACGACTGAGGGAGATGGATCACAAACAACAACAGTGGTAGGTGGGGGACGACTGAGGGAGATGCACCACAAACAACAACAGTGGTAGGTGGGGACGACTGAGAGAGATGCACCACAAACAACAACAGTGGTAGGTGGGGGACGACAGAGGGAGATGCACCTAAAAAAACAGCAGTGGTAGGTGGGGGACGACTGAAGGAGATGCACCACAAACAACAGCAGTGGTAGGTGGGGATGACTGAGGGAGATGCACCACAAACAACAACAGTGGTAGGTGGGGGATGACTGAGGGAGATGGATCACAAACAACAACAGTGGTAGGTGGGGGACAACTGAGGGAGATGCACCACAAACAACAACAGTGGTAGGTGGGGACGACTGAGGGAGATGGATCACAAACAACAACAGTGGTAGGTGGGGACTACTGAGGGAGATGGATCACAAACAACAACAGTGGTAGGTGGGGGACGACTGAGGGAGATGCACCACAAACAACAACAGTGATAGGTGGGGGACAACTGAGGGAGATGGATCACAAACAACAACAGTGGTAGGTGGGGGACAACTGAGGGAGATGGATCACAAACAACAACAGTGGTAGGTGGGGAACGACTGAGGGAGATGCACCACAAACAACAACAGTGGTGGGTGGGGGACGACTGAGTGAGAAGCACCACAAACAACAACAGTGGTAGGTGGGGGACGACTGAGGGAGATGCATCACAAACAACAACAGTGGTAGGTGGGGGACGACTGAGGGAGATGGATCACAAACAACAACAGTGGTAGGTGGGGGACGACTGAGGGAGATGGATCACAAACAACAACAGTGGTAGGTGGGGGATGACTGAGGGAGATGGATCACAAACAACAACAGTGGTAGGTGGGGGACGACTGAGGGAGATGCACCACAAACAACAACAGTGGTAGGTGGGGGACGACTGAGGGAGCTGGATCACAAACAACAACAGTGGTAGGTGGGGGACGACTGAGGGAGATGCACCACAAACAACAACAGTGGTAGGTGGGGGACGACTGAGGGAGATGGATCACAAACAACAACAGTGGTAGGTGGGGACGACTGAGGGAGATGCACCACAAACAACAACAGTGGTAGGTGGGGGACGACTGAGGGAGATGCACCACAAACAACAGTGGTAGGTGGGGGACGACTGAGGGAGATGGATCACAAACAACAGCAGTGGTAGGTGGGGGACGACTGAGGGAGATGGATCACAAACAACAACAGTGGTAGGTGGGGGCGACTGAGGGAGATGCACCACAAACAACAACAGTGGTAGGTGGGGGACGACTGAGGGAGATGGATCACAAACAACAACAGTGGTAGGTGGGGGACGACTGAGGGAGATGCACCACAAACAACAACAGTGGTAGGTGGGGGACGACTGAGGGAGATGGATCACAAACAACAACAGTGGTAGGTGGGGACGACTGAGGGAGATGCACCACAAACAACAACAGTGGTAGGTGGGGGACGACTGAGGGAGATGCACCACAAACAACAGTGGTAGGTGGGGGACGACTGAGGGAGATGGATCACAAACAACAGCAGTGGTAGGTGGGGGACGACTGAGGGAGATGGATCACAAACAACAACAGTGGTAGGTGGGGACGACTGAGGGAGATGGATCACAAACAACAACAGTGGTAGGTGGGGGACGACTGAGGGAGATGCACCACAAACAACAACAGTGGTAGGTGGGGACGACTGAGGGAGATGGATCACAAACAACAACAGTGGTAGGTGGGGACGACTGAGGGAGATGCACCACAAACAACAACAGTGGTAGGTTGGGGACAACTGAGGGAGATGCACCACAAACAACAACAGTGGTAGGTGGGGACGACTGAGGGAGATGGATCACAAACAACAACAGTGATAGGTGGGGGACAACTGAGGGAGATGCACCACAAACAACAACAGTGGTAGGTGGGGGACGACTGAGTGAGGTGGATCACAAACAACAACAGTGGTAGGTGGGGGATGACTGAGGGAGATGCACCACAAACAACAACAGTGGTAGGTGGGGGATGACTGAGGGAGATGCACCACAAACAACAGTGGTAGGTGGGAGACGACTGAGGGAGATGCACAACAAACAACAACAGTGGTAGGTGGGGGACGACTGAGGGAGATGGATCACAAACAACAACAGTGGTAGGTATGGGACGACTGAGGGAGATGCACCACAAACAACAACAGTGGTAGGTGGGGGACGACTGAGTGAGGTGGATCACAAACAACAACAGTGGTAGGTGGGAGACGACTGAGGGAGATGCACCACAAACAACAACAGTGGTAGGTGGGGACTACTGAGGGAGATGGATCACAAACAACAACAGTGGTAGGTGGGGGGCGACTGAGGGAGATGGATCACAAACAACAACAGTGGTAGGTGGGGGACGACTGAGGGAGATGGACCACAAACAAGAACAGTGGTAGGTGGGGATGACTGAGGGAGATGCACCACAAACAACAACAGTGGTAGGTGGGGGACGACTGAGGGAGATTCACCACAAACAACAACAGTGGTAGGTGGGGACGACTGAGGGAGATGGATCACAAACAACAACAGTGGTAGGTGGGGGATGACTGAGGGAGATGCACCACAAACAACAACAGTGGTAGGTGGGGGACGACTGAGGGAGATGGATCACAAACAACAACAGTGGTAGGTGGGGGACGACTGAGGGAGATGCACCACAAACAACAACAGTGGTAGGTGGGGGACGACTGAGGGAGATGCACCACAAACAACAACAGTGGTAGGTGGGGACGACTGAGGGAGATATATTGCGATACAAGATACAAACAGACCTATATTGTGATACATGATACAAACAGACCTATCTTGTGATACATGATGACACAAGATGTGTTCATATTTTACCTAGAGTGGACCAATTGTCTTTTCTCCTATTACAACTTTTTGACTAAATTGTACGGGTGGAGGAGAAAAAGCTCCAGATCAACTGAAGATGTCTGTATTATGAGTTTTGGAGGCCAAATTGGTTGGGGAAAACCCCTGATCTAGGAAATGTGAATTATTTCTGATGTATGGGGTAGCTGTTGGGACAGCATGGGGTGTTGTTCATGCTATTGACCACACGTTTGTCAGGCCCCGACTTGTACCAAGGTGTAGCTGGAATATGTCATTCGAAAAAGGTTTCAGAATACTTGTGGTTGGTGGGGCAATGGAAGATGTATATCTCTTCAACAGCTTCTTTTGTTTCAGATAAACAACCAAATAATGGATCAATCACTGAGACTCAAGCCAGTGAACCCTCCTCACCCGGCGGTGGAAGTATTCTGGACAGCCATATTGAATTTGACCCTTTGATCTCATCTACAAATGTCTGCATTTCGTCACATGACAAAAACACTTCAGATCAAAGTCACGGTTCCATAGCCCGAAAACAGGAGGCAAGGGAGGCTACTCTTGTAGGAATGTGTTATTCACATGAAGCTGTGCCTGTTAAGGTGGTAGACTGCCTGTCTGATATTGATTTTCCCCAGCGAAAGATTGCGGTGTCGGCCATTAGAAGCAGTGACTTATCAACTCCAGACATTCTGGGGAATCTGAGCTCAAACAGTTCCATCTTACCATCAGACGACCCTAGAGCATCCCGTGATGGAGAGAATGGACAGAAGGACCGAAATGAGTCGGAAGCTATTCACGCGACCTCCAAGACCATGTGTGGAGATGCTCTTTTCACAGAGGACGTGTCAGATTCTCTTCCATTAATTGTGAACCAAAATACAATGACTTTCAAACTCTGGGAATCTGAAAAACAAGAAGAAAAAAACGTATGCGAAGATGCTGTGAGTTTTGTGGATAACTCGTTAACTTTCACACAAACTAATCACAGTGACACGCACTTGTGGAAATCTAGGCCAAGGTTGTGTGTTGCTGACTCATTAGATACCGATTATGAAATGAGTCCCCTTCCTAAACACAAACATTGGGTAAGTGAGGATGTGTTGACAAAACACGACGCGGGGCCCTGTGATGAAATGTTTCAAAAGAGATTGAGAAGACAGCCCAGGGCCAAATCAGTCGCTGGGAGACTAGACGGGAATTTTATAGCTTGGTGCCTGGAGCCGGAAAACGAAGAATGCAAAACATCGCCTTCAGTATCCGTCCCCTCGGGAGATGATAGCGAGACTCAGGACGTGCGTTGTTTATTGGAACATGGGAGAAATGGCTTGAAGCCTACATCATTACAAGGCAGGTCGCGACAAAGTCTTAATGATCACTATCTAGCCACAAAACATACTGCCTTGAAGCAAGACTTGTCAGACTGTGCGAACTCTCTCGATCTGTCCCCTCCAGCGCCCTCTAGTGGCAAAGGGGCAACAGGTCCAGTTAGACCCCTTCGGCCTTTTTATATTTCGAAATCAGGACAGAATGACTCAGACACTGACAAGAGAGCACACGGAAACGACCTTTTCAGGGCCACTAGAGCACGTGCTTGTTGTGCTGGTTCTATAACAGGGTTACCTAGTGATTCACAGGCCAGATTGTGTAAGACCTCGAGGTCGTCACGACACCAGAGTAGGGAATCGGGGTCAGCCAGCGAGGATAAATATCACTTGAGGTCAGAGGGAATTTTGAAAGCACCTTTATCAAATAGCAGGACCTCTGGGTGCTATGAAGACTCCAACGTGTACATTGATGTTGAAGCCAGTGAGAGATGTGTTGCAGATGATGCCGACTCACTTGTGTTTACTCCATCACAGGGGCCAAACACTGGAGCTGATGAAGGGGATGACGACATTGATGCTGGCTTTTTCCTGGATTCGCAACTGATGTGATTTTTGTGTTTAAGACAAAATGTGGCATGATGCCACCTAAAACAAAACAAATAAAACTGGATGGTTTTGTCCATTTTGGGTTTGGACACTAGATGCCTGTGATACTTGTTAAGATTCCTTATTTTGCAGAATGAAAGACCAAAATATTTACATGATTATGTTATTGTTTGTTGTTGTCTTGTCAATTTTGTCTGCTGATCGTCTGCCAGGAGTAGGTTGTTGGAGCCCTGCTGGTGTTTACGATGCACTGACACTACCTTGCCCGCCCGTCCACTTAACTACCGAACTCACGCCATTAATACACTCACTCTCTTACCTGACTCACTTCACTCACTCATTCACCCACTCAGTTAACTCACTCATTCACTCTCTTAACTAACTCACTCTCTTGACGAAATCATCCACCCTCTTAACTCAATCACGCCATTAATACACTCACTCACTCACTCTCTTAACTGACTCACTCTCTTGACGAAATCATCCACCCGCTTAACTAACTCACTCACGCCGTTAACTCGCTTCACCCACTCATTCACCCACTTAGCTAACTCACTCATTAACTCTACCCACTATCAGTGAAGTCGGTAAAATAATCAAATCTGGACCAGACAATCCAGTGATGGATATCATTAGGTTTGGGATTAAGTAAAATAAATGTGTTTTTATTTTTTTATTAATGATGGATTTCATCAAGTTTCCACCATTACCATGGCAGCCTGTAAACAATCTGGACCAGACAAACCAGTGATTGATATTATGAACACCAACACAGTCAGGGTACGATGACACCCTATCAACCAAGTCACGTGACCACCAATCAGTTTACCCGCCACTTGCGACCATCATGGGCTGCTGGGACCTATTCAAACTAGGCACCAGCCAGCTGTTTAAAGACCCGTTAGACATCTCGGGGAAGGACAACAGACCCTCAAATCTCTGTCAGACATGCAGTGGGTGCGGAGCTATCGGGAATCCTGCCCCTTTGGACTTGTTGATTGTAAATCTCGGTGTGCAAGTGGTTGTGTATATCACCTCAAGTGCTGATGTCACACACAGAGATGCGTACATGTGAAGTGAGGCGATACCGATCACGTGATAGAGATGTCTGGGTTTTGTTCGTTTCCTCAGAGAAAAACTACCAGCTAGATTGTCTTGAAAAATAAATAAACTTGGTGTGAAATAATTTTGATGAATCTTATTGAGTGACGTTCTGTCCTAGAACATATCCTTGTGGTCAGCAGTCGATGGCGTGGTTGCTGCACGTGCGTGATGCGGTGTACTACTGATGGCGGACTGCCGCTCCACACCAGCTCCCTTCAACAGACACACGGAAGTACAGTTTGAAATTTGCAAGCATTAATACGTCAGGACCTGTCGTACATGTTGTCACGTGTCAGACGTTCACATTAAGGATGTCTGTTAGTAGGTGAGGTGAAATGCGGTCAATATTATTGCACTTATGCATGCGCGCGCGCGTGTGTGTACTGATCTGTAAGAGAAAGCGATACAGTTCTGTGTTAAGTTGTGGCCCCTAGATTGCCAGGATCCGATGTTTGTCATATCTTCATGAACGCAAAAGTAAGATGGTACTTGTTGTTACTCGGCATTTAAGGGCTAAAACGAGGACTGGTCGTCTCGGAGTCAGTACTGTGTCTCAAGTACTGTGTCTCAAGTACTGTGTCTCAAGTACTGTGTCTGAGAGGGGTAACCCGTGAAGATCTGGGATAGAATAGGTCTTCAGCAACCCATGCTTGCCGTAACAGGCGACTATACTTGTCGTAAGAGGCGACGAACGTGATCGGGACTTCAGACTCGCTGACTTGGTTGATGCATGTCATCGTATCCCAATTGAAGCACTATTGACACACGCGTGTACCTCTCAAGTATAGTTGAAGCACTATTGACACGCGTGTACCTCTCAAGTGTAGTTGAAGCACTATTGACACGCGTGTACCTCTCAAGTATAGTTGAAGCACTATTGACACGCGTGTACCTCTCAAGTATAGTTGAAGCACTATTGACACACGCTTGTACCTCTCAAGTATAGTTGAAGCACTATTGACACACGCGTGTACCTCTTTGCATTTTACCATGCTAGGATTATTGCAATGCTGAAGAAACGTAAACCCGCATTAATGATTGATAAGTCGACTAGTATATATAGTGAGTGTACACGCGGTGACATTGAGTTTATGGTAGGACATATTTTTATAACATTATAAATATGTGTTTGTGCAGCGGTTTTTTTATAATTAAACTTACGCGAAGTGCTCCTATATTTTATAATTGAAGTTTTAACTTCAATTTGAAAAAAAGAATATCTTTATATTACAGGTGCATTTGTCCTTTAGCTAGAATGTTTTGCATTATGTTTTACCGCGTGGCCAGGTTGAGTTCGGTAGCCTGGTGGACGCAGCGTTCAGCGGTCACGCCTACCACCGGAGTTTGATCCTCTACGTGGGTACAATTGGTCAGGTGTTTGCTTGGTACCACAGGGACCGTTACATTGTATGGACGGGGAGTGGAAGGTCCGGGGTTCGATCCCCACAGGGACCGTTACATCGTATTGACGGGGAGTGGAAGGTCCGGGGTTCGATCCCCGGCCGGGACCGTTACATCGTATGGACGGGGAGTGGAAGGTCGGGGGTTCGATCCCCACAGGGACCGTTACATCGTATTGACGGGGAGTGGAAGGTCCGGGGTTCGATCCCCACAGGGACCGTTACATCGTATTGACGGGGAGTGGAAGGTCCGGGGTTCGATCCCCACAGGGACCGTTACATCGTATTGACGGGGAGTGGAAGGTCCGGGGTTCGATCCCCACAGGGACCGTTACATCGTATTGACGGGGAGTGGAAGGTCCGGGGTTCGATCCCCACAGGGACCGTTACATCGTATTGACGGTGAGTGGAAGGTCCGGGGTTCGATCCCCACAGGGACCGTTACATCGTATTGACGGGGAGTGGAAGGTCCGGGGTTCGATCCCCACTTGTTGTTACCCTGTCTGGCGCTCGGCATTAAGGGGCTAAAACAAGGACTGGTCGGCTCGGAGTCCGTATACTGTGTCTGAGTGGGGTATTCATGTTAAACTAGGGCATGGTATCTCAGTGGGTCAGCACAAGAAAACAAGGGGCTGATCACTTGGTGGAGGCACTCGAGAGGTTTATTCAACTCATTTTTGATTCACCTCAATATTTGTTTCATCTCAGTGTTTGATACACCTCAGCGATTGATTCATCTCAGTGTTTAAGACACTAGTCAAGAATAATGTGAGCCAGTGAGTTAGTATTGTTTTACGCCGTATTAGCAATATTTCAGCAATATCACGGCGGGTGACACCAGAAATGGGCTTCACATATTGTACCAATGTCGAGGATCGAACGTTCGGCGTGACGAGCGAACGCTTTAACCACAAGGCTACCCGACCGCCCCTAGTCCGGACTAGTACAAGCAGACACACACATACACACATGTGCATGCACGTCAAGATATAAGTTTGATCGCGACATTAAACCCATTTCACATTACTTTTACCGTTGAGACATTGCGGGAATATTGCTACATGCGGCGTAAAACCTCACTCCCTCACACTGACGCCAGGCAACTCTGTGTGTCAGGAAATCGCAGCTTCACCGGGAGCGAGGGTCAGGTTCAGGTTGACAGTTGTTATATAGCAGTGTGTTTTCTTGTTTTACAGTTATTTTAGCTGTGTTAGATTGTTTTGTTGGGATTCGGTAGACGCTCGTTTCATTGTGTTTGGATAGTGATCAGTCGTCAGGAAGTGACTATATTTAGAAGCTGGTGTGCATTCTGGACCAACTCGTGTTATTCCGGGACAAGCCAAATAGCAACTCGTGCCCCGCTCTTGGCCATTTTTTGCGACCGGGTTCCGTGTTAGCGCAAACGGGCATACCTAAAACAATTGTCAGTTGTTAGCGTAATGGTTCACACATATTTCCCCATATATTATATATATTTCAGATGAAATTTAAAGCACATCGGGACCTGCGGAATTATACAATTTATTTCCGAACACATTTAACTGTGTCCTGGGTATATTTTTAGATGCAAGACAAAGAAGGGATTCTTTGACGAAGAACTTCAAATCATACGCGCTTTGTTGTTTAACGCCGCACTCAACAATATTCCAGCTATATGACGAAGGTCTGTAAATAATCGAGTCTGGACCAGACAATACAGTGATTACTGTCATGAATATCGATCCACACACTTGGGATTATCCCGTTTGTCGCCTTTTACGACAAGCATAGTCGCCTTTTACGACAAGCATAGTCGCCTTTTACGACAAGCATAGTCGCCTTTTACGACAAGCACAGTCGCCTTTTACGACAAGCATAGTCGCCTTTTACGACAAGCACAGTCGCCTTTTACGACAAGCATAGTCGCCTTTTACGACAAGCATAGTCGCCTTTTACGACAAGCACAGTCGCCTTTTACGACAAGCACGGGTTGCTGAAGACCTATTTTACTCCGGATCTTCACGGGTCGCATGTCCGACTTATCACCAGTGTAGTGCCCCTTTAAATACCAACACATCCTTATACACCAGACCTTCAGTGAGTCATGACAATATGAGCTGGTGACACAGAAGAATGTGTTTCTCATGGCTTTTTCACTTCAAATATTTCTACTTGCATTTATGGCAATGTACGGAGTTACACCCAATCTTGGCGACGGCTCAAGTATTCTGTCTGATTCCCACATCAGGTCCCAGCCTCCCAGGATGAGGCGGGTACAGACCCATCTCACCTGGGGACATCTGGGTCACACGTTATCTCCAGGTGCTGATGCAGAGTGATGACCCGGGTTATTATTGATGTGTTGTCGGGTGTTTGTTTAAGGCAAGTTATAGTGATATATTTCATAAATAAAAATAGGTCATATGACGAGAAAGGAACTTTTGTGTTAATGTCAGTCTTTCTAACGATGTCTGTGATTCTGTACGAATGCCCCATTATCTCATATGTGAAGCCGTTAGTCACTAGATCGGGTTCGACTCCCAAGATCGTTGTCACATGGTTGCGATGTCAACATTAGTACATTACTGTTCAATTATGAAAGATTTAAAATGTTCAGAAACAGCAAAAACAGAGGACGGGACCTTGAACTGGACCTGTGTACTGCAAAACCCCGTTTATAAGGACCCTATCAGTTGAGACAGCAGGGGCTACAGACATCACCATCCGGGATGTGACATGCATGAACCTACGTTTGTCTAAGGCATCAGCGAACACGTCACTGTAAAGGGGGCACGGTGGTCCAGTATTCTTAAGGCATCAGTGAACACGTCACTGTAAAGGGGGCACGGTGGTCCAGTGGTCTAAGGCATCAGTGAACACGTCACTGTAAAGGGGGCACGGTGACCCAGTGGTCTAAGGCATCAGTGAACACGTCACTGTAAAGGGGGCACGGTGGTCCAGTGGTCTAAGGCATCAGTGAACACGTCACTGTAAAGGGGGCACGGTGGCCCAGTGGTCTAAGGCATCAGTGAACACGTCACTGTAAAGGGGGCACGGTGGTCCAGTGGTCCAAGGCATCAGTGAACAGGTCACTGTAAAGCGGGCACGGTGGACCAGTGGTCTGAGGCATCAGTGAACACGTCACTGTAAAGCGTGCACAGTGGACCAGTGGTCTAAGGCTTGCTGTAAAGGGGAGACGGGTGGCTTGGGGTATGAGACTTTCTGTAAAGGAGAGACGGGTGGCTGGGGGTATGAGACTTTCTGTAAAGGAGAGACGGGTGGCTGGGGGTATGGGGCTTGCTGTAAAGGGGAGACGGGTGGCTTGGGGTATGAGGCTTTCTGTAAAGGGGAGACGGGTGGCTGGGGGCATGAGGCTTTCTGTAAAGGGGAGACGGGTGGCTGGGGGTATGAGACTTTCTGTAAAGGGGAGACGGGTGGCAGGGGGTATGAGGCTTACTGTAAAGGGGAGACGGGTGGCAGGGGGTATGAGGCTTGCTGTAAAGGGGAGACGGGTGGCTGGGGGTATGAGGCTTACTGTAAAGGGGAGACGGGTGGCTGGGGGTATGAGGCTTGCTGTAAAGGGGAGACGGGTGGCTGGGGGTATGAGACTTTCTGTAAAGGGGAGACGGGTGGCTGGGGGTATTAGGCTTGCTGTAAAGGGGAGACGGGTGGCTGGGGGTATGAGACTTTCTGTAAAGGGGAGACGGGTGGCTGGAGGTATTAGGCTTGCTGTAAAGGGGAGACGGGTGGCTGGGGGTATGAGACTTTCTGTAAAGGGGAGACGGGTGGCTGGGGGTATAAGACTTACTGTAAAGGGGGGAGGCGGGGGGGGGGGGGGGGGGGGGTCGTCTAAGCATGCTGTTGATCCTGTGTTCGGATCAAAGATTCGCAACGATTGTGATTTTACGTCAGCACCAATCTAGTGCTCGTGGGTTTACCGAAGTGATTCACGTCCCGGCTTGCCCTCCGTCATAGCCCTCCGACCAGTTACTTGCTGTAAAAGGCGACTATGTTCCTCTCAGAGGCGAGTGAGGGGATCGGGTGGTCAGGCTCGCTGACTTGTGTGATGCATGTCATCGTATCCAAATTACGTGGATCGATGCTCATGCTATTAATCACTGGATTGTCTGGTCCAGACTTGATTATATACAGATCGCCGTCATATAGTTGGAATATTGCTGCGTTTGGCGTAAAACAACGAGCAATCAGAAAGTGGGCCCCAGTTGGACCAGACTCTCCTCACAAAGAAAAAAGACTAACGCCGCCGAGGTGATAACTTTACGTCCTTATCGGTTGATGAAGAAGCAGATAGCCTAGTGGTATAACTAACCGTAGAGTTACGTCCCTTCGATGTGACAGGATCCATATATCTTGTCTGTTCATGTTCCTTGGTTTGTCAGCACCACAACGCGACGGTGCCTCTGCTTCCGTTTGGCCTCCGCCTTAAGCTGACGTGTAGTTGAATAATGTTCGTGTTTACAAGTACGTTCGTTTCTAAAAAGTCGGCAAACCTTGGCATGAAATGTCATAAACAAGTCATCAAACACGGCGTTTGATCTGATCTGCATCTATGCGCTTAAGTTAATTACATTTCCTCTACAATAAGCATCTGTCATTTAAGGAATGAAGTGTTACATCTTGACGTACATCAACTTCAGTGCCTCGCGTTAGCAAATTCCCTTAATCGCTCACGTGATGCATTGTCTTCAGCTGATGAACGGTAACAAATACAACTTCAACCTTTACTTTGACAGATACATAAATGATGACAACATAAACACAAAAATTATTTAAAGCGAGACTATATTAACGTGTGCTTTTATCGTGACGTCATCCGTCCCCCAAATTCAATTCGAAGTTACGTCCCTTGGGGCTACAAACGTAAAAAAGCTTTATTCACCTGAAATAGACATTTCAGTCAGTAAAGTTGGACTTGTAATGAAAACCACACCCGCTTGATGCTGAACATAGATTAACATGAACGTTCTGTGTCAAACTGAGGCGAGATGAGCTGCTGGTGCCAGGGATTGGGTCGACGCGATTGATGTCTGACGCAATACAGGACAGCGTGAAGCTTAGTGATTTCTGTTGATGAGTAGGTCATTATTTGTTGTAAATGACGTTCTATTTCAACGACTCGTCACTTTCATGATCTGTCTATACGTAATTGTGACCCGTGAAAGTCCGGTCTTCAGCAACCCATGTTTGCCGTAATAGGCGACTAACGGGATCGTGTGGTCAGGCTCGCTGACTTGGTTGGCGCATGTCATCGTATCCCAATTGCGTTTGTCAATGCTCATGATGATAATCACTGGATTTTCAGGTCCAGAGTTCGGCGTTAAACAACAAACAAAGAAAGAAAAGTAAGTGTATAATCATCACTATTTGACGTTATTTTCAGACATTGAGGAATTCCCCAAGATTAGTTCTGTATATCTCCGCTCGGTTGATGACATCATGCCACGTACTGACGGTCAACAGTTCGCTTGGTCGTGTCCCTCTGGGCGAGGTCAGCCGCTACTGTCGATATAAGTGATTAGATGTAGTCCCGCTGGTCGCGCGACCGTGACCTCACAGCATCGGCAGTGGAGCTATATTTAATAAACAGATGATACCTTCAGATTATTACAACCAGGACTCTAATTACAGCAGCACAAATGAGTTGCCCTGTCCTTGACGTGAAGGCGAGAGAGGACGAGGAAAGGTTCAGCTGGGTTGAGCGTCCTCCACCAGACAGTAACTTGTTTAAGGTGATTATACCGACTACGACCAGGCAGCTAATGTACAACACTATTTGGTTAACGCGGCAGCTTGTACAGACCAATATGTGATGATGTAGACTGCGTAAGCTTTATTAATGTCAGATTTTACAGTCTTAACTTGGCTCTCTATCTGATTACGGAGCTCTATAGACAGCCGTCACGTCTGTTCGACTGATTACCCTTTTAGGTTTCCTGTGTGTTCGGGGATTGGTGGGGAGGGGCACTGGTGAGACATTTGGCCATGACGTCAATTCCTGCAGACAATCACGTCTCACAGTATCTGTACATGTAGATGTGCCTCTGTGAAGACCCGGGTTAGAGTCGATCTTCAGCAACGCATACTTGTCGTAAGAGTGGACTGACGGGATTGGGTGGTCAGGTTTGCTGACTTGCTTGGTGCATGTCATCGTATCCCAATTGGGTGGATCAATGCTCATGATTTCAATCACTGGATTGTCTGGTCAAGATTCGATTTTTCACAGACCGCCGTCATATAGCTGCAATAATGCTGCGTGCGGCGTTAAACAAGAAACAAACAAACTATAACCTACCATATAATCACTGGATTGTCTGGTCTAGAGGTCTTACAGTCACATAACTTTATGCAGCGTTAAGCTACAAGGCAACAAACAAACAAACAGGTATCTGACTTTACACCCTCGTACGTTGATTTGAAGTTATCGAGTTGTTACTTTCTGATTTTGCAAATATGCATTTTCATGAATTTCATTGTTAAGGGGGAAGTTCTGTTTTAAATGAGGTAAAATTGGCGTATAAGTTTGAAATTGCAAAATAAAAATGGGCGCAGTGATATTCGAGTGCGACGTTTTCCTTTCCGTCCTTTCTCCAAGTTCACAGAATTCAGAACACATGATAACGGACAATCTTACGTGAGCAAAGCTGTTAGTTCTCCTTTCTCCGTCCTCCATGACTCAGTCCCAGATAAATCGTGATTCCTAGTTAATGAGTATCTAATCACAAGGCGAGCATGTATTTCTACACGCTAATCCTACATCAACTTAATGGATTTGTCACAAGACACGTTAGGTCCAAAGGGACTGTCTCAAAGACTCCACGTCATTTTTGAGCGTATATAGTGATCATGTGGACTTCCACTGACTTAACTCGGGGAGCCGGAGTTATTGATCCCGAACATCGTCGTAATACCACAGGGGAAAACACAAGTAGCCAGTAACGTCAAAACAGACAATTGTGTTGAATCTACTTTCGTTTTAAGAGAAAGAATCTTCAAAGCCAGGCGCTTAAAGCAAAAGAGGCTCCTTAAAAATATAATCTTAACTGAGAGCCGTATGAAATCTTCTTGAAAACAAATAATAAAACAACATTCACTACCTAACCAATGTTATGTTTGGAAATTACATGCAAGCTTTTGACACAGCCCCCAATAGGATATCGGACGCTTGTCCACAAGAAACAGCAAAGCCCTCATCGTCTGTAGGAGAAAAGCGATTCTCGTACATACCATGAGCCTAATGGATCCAATCTTCCGGGAAGCTTGCCATATTTCTATAATGATAGGCTCGAATCCCGGTTCACCCTGATTATGTTTCTAGGTTTGTCAGCACCATACCTGTGCTCGTGGGTTTCACCAAAGTGGTAAACATCTGAGACCTGCATCACTAGGGGCTTTCTCCCCATTTCACGCTGAAACGCGCCGAGATACTTTACAAAGCGGCATCAACTCACTCAGTCATCTTCCACATCCAGGACAGTGAGTTGTACGGGAATATTAAATATCGCTTTGATGCATAAATAATTATGGTTTTTTTTGTTTCATGACATCGTAACTTGTTCTGCTTTTGCACAGACTTCAATTTGTACATTCAAATCGTCCACACCTCAGTTCCTAAACCATGTTTTTCTTGTTTGTTTCTTTGTTTCTTTGTTGTTTAACGCCGCACTCAGCAATATTCCAGCTATATGACGGCGGTTTGTAAATAATCGTGCCTGGACAAGACAATCCAGTGATTGATGTCATGAGCATCGACATTGGGATCGATGACATGCATCAACCAAGTCTGCGAGGCTGACCACCCGATCCCATTAGTCACCTCTTACGACAAACCTAGTTGCCTTTTACAGCAAGTATGGGTTGCTGAAGATCTATTCTACCCTGGATCTTCACGGGTCCCATCTTTACTCAACAACAAAAGTTCCTGTGACACCAATATTTTAGTGTATTTTTCAAACAAGTAAAGTTTGGTTTTCAATATTGTAGTATATGTATGGAATCAAGTCACTAAAACGCAACTGCTACAGAAAAGCATGCATTCAATGCAAAAGTTGACTTTTATGCAAGCCCCATGCATTTCGCTACCGAAGAATGGGTAAAAAAACATGTGCGTTAACGGGATTCCATATGCATTGTTTAGCATCGTGCTGACAACAACCACCCAGAAAAACAACAGAATTACGCAAGTATTCAACATTACGAAATGCCATGCCTGTCCGAAAATGAGCGTCTGCGGGCCATTGGCCATGGTATGCTTGAAGCAGGATCAAGTCAACGTGATGATGCAAGACAATTAAACGTCCCCAGAAACACCATTTGGTGTTTATGGCAACGTTGGCAACAGACGAATCCTCGGAGTGCCAGGCAACGCGTAACCAATAATCGACAAGGCAACTGGATTCGAAAACACACCTACGAAATCGATTCCAGCCAGCAACAGTGACTGCAAGAAGTATCCCTGGCCTTCGACGAATACCTTCACAAACCGTACGTCGCCGCCTCAGATTTGCAGGGATTGTCGCAGATATGGACAGATATCCCACAGGACTTTGTGCGACGCCTGGTCCATTCCATGAGACGAAGATGTGTTGCTTGCATCGCAACCAGAGGTGGACACACGCGCTATTGATT